GGGGCTCTCCACTCGGCCCTGACCGGCCGGACGCACCGGGAGCAGGGCGGAGAGCCCCCCGGTGGCCAGAGCGCCGGGGAGAGCGGAGAGCCCCGGCCGGGCTCGGCGCCCTCCCCTGCCACGCTGGGGAGGGGCGGCGGGTGGCTTTTTTGCCTACGGTGGCAAAAAAGCCAGAGCCGGCCCTGCCCAAGACTGGGGCTTTTCCAGTTCAACTGAGGGAACCAATTTTAAAATGCAAACTCAGAAGAAACCTCTCAATCTTTGGGGATGTTCAAAACCAGTGTTCTGCTTCATGCTCAGGTCTCATGGTCATGAACTTGGGTCTAATGAAGCTCTATTTATAATGAAGGAGAACGAATGCACCAGAGTATTTCAGTACATTGCTGTATGCAGACTGCAATTCCAGTTAGAGTATCCCTCTGCTGATTATAGTGAAGTTGTTCAAGTGGCTAATGACACTCAGTGTTGTTCCAGGATTTGAGTGATACATTAGGATAAAGATCCTGGTCCCTAGTATTGCAGGGCTAAAGGGTTGTCTTTGCGTCATTGCCCCCCAAACCCAAAAGGAAATCTATCATTATTTATACCCTGGCCAAAGATATGCTGGGCAGCCGCTTAACTGCTGCTAATGCTTGAGGGTTTTTGTTGTTGTTGAGACCTAGAACACTATTGGCTTATTTAAAATACTTGAATGAGGCCCATAACTCGGAGCACTAACTTGTGGGACAATCTTAGCAGAGACACTGTGTATAAAGAAAACGTCAAACTTCCTATAATGGTTTATACAACTCTATGAACCAATTTAATTGAATTTGGTCATTTGGGAAGTTGGGGAAGTTTACCTGACTCTCCCCCTCCCCAGGTAGAGGGAGGAGCCGATATGAAATTGCTTCTGTATTTCCAACTGAAAGCTCTGTATTTATGCTACATATAGTGGGCCCTTTTCAGGGTGCAATTAGAACAATCTATTAAGTACATATGCTATCATGAGGACAATCTTTTCCAAACACCGGGACTTCTTTTGGATTCATTCCCCTCTTTCTTCCTCCCCTAGCCCCACCCTGAGTTTAAAAGCAATGTTTGATTGAACTCCACAGAAACAGATCCAGCGTCAAGAGATCTAGTTTCGCTTTTCTTTCTTTCTTTCTTCTTCTTCTTCAACATTGGCTGTTGATCCAGTAACTTATAAACGAGGGATATTTAAATACAGGAACGGTTCAGTCCTCGCTGTCTTCTTCGTCATCGTCATCTTTGCTGGGAGCGCATCTCTGGAAGCAATGCACCAGCGCCGCCAAGAGGAAGCTTGACAGAATGGCGGCAATGGAGACCGCAACTCCAGAGAAGATGATGATCAACAGATCCGTTAACGACAAACTAAATTTGCATTCACTGAAGCTGACCTCAGATAATTCATCCAGAAAGATTCTTCTGTTTTCCACAGGCAGGGAACACTGGAGTTCGTGTAGACCTGCAAAGAAAAAAAATAAAAGAGGGAGGAGATGAGAAGCGCATTGGCCGATCGTTTACTTGATTCAAGCTGGGAGCCGGATAGCTGGGGAGATTTGTATGGGGATCACCTTTAGGTTTCTAAGTTTGTATTCAGTGAGTGCAGGAAGGAAGTGACTAAAAGCTGACATCATCTGATGGCTGTTGTTACACAGCCCGTGCAAAATAAGCTTTGGGAGTATCTAGACAAGTGTCCACATCCCCAAAATAGAACATTAGTGTTGACCTCAGCAAAGAAGGCAAGGATGGAATGGACCATGAAGGCGGAGTTATGCACGTCTCTTTACCCCTTCAGGCCAGGTTTGATATATTAGTGAGTCAGGGTGGGAAAGCATGCAAGATGCATGTTCTGTAAATAACAACAGGACTTCAGTCTTCAGGGCTGTCTGTTTTGGGTATGTTTCTTGTGTGCTACAGTCACCTATGAAAATAAAACACATTCTTAAATATAAGCCTCCACATCATAGTATTATTTTCATATACGACCCTATAATACCTGTGCATTCTTCTGTGGGATTTTTCCCCGCTGCGTGCAGCAACAAAAAACAACCAGGAGGTCACTTTGGGTAAAATTCCCCTCTGCACAAAGGGTGAGCCATGTTATGCACCATCTAAATCCCAATTACACTTGATTTTGAGGGCTAAAGTGAGACTTGACTAATGCCTAGGTCTTGTGCTGCCCTTCGCATGAGGGTAAATTTTACCCTTTGTAATTATCTTGTTTGAAACAGATCATTGTTCCTTTAAGCCAAAGGACGTGCAGAGAGATACCCAGGTCGACTGCACTTGGTGCTGATGTTGTGAACTTTGGCCTCCCCCCCCCACCACCCGCTTCCTATGGCTAAAACTATAGTGATGTTTTTCCTTTGGATCAAGATAACAGCTTGGGCTTAACCGATGCTTGATTAATTCTGTGATCTGCTTTCAACTTCTCCTTTACACTTTGTTATAAGATATTATTCCTCCATGCATTATTGAGGAATGCCTAGAGCTGCGCAATAGTTTGGTTTCTTTATGATGAAATTAGGAAATCCAAATTCAGAAACGAGTATGAATGTAGCTTGATACGGACAGCGAGGACACTAGTAAAAGTAATCTCCTCCTTGCAGAGCAAGCAGACTGGAGAGAGTATTTCTAATGGTGCCAAGGAAGTGCTTTGATGGACTGATGGGTAAAGTGAGTGAACTCTTCAGGGGTCGTTAGCATGATGGACTCTACTTGGCTATTGAGGATAGGAATGTAAAGGGGAAATACGAGAAATGTGTATTAATGGCCTGGGAGCCGCTACTGGTCTATTTGATACATTCTTCCCTTTGTCTGCTGGTGAGCACAGAATAGCTGGAAAGGCCCCTGGCCGCTCAGGTTTTGACCCTGTATCATTGCGTGCTCACAGTTCAAGGTGTGTTTCTGGGGCAGTACTGCATGAACACAGTTCCCACTTCATTTCAATTACATGGAGAGTTGTTACAATAGGACTGGATGGGGGTGTTTACGACTATCAGATTGAGACGGTTGAAGCTAGTGATCTAGATGTGACAGACAGTCTGGACCCGGCTTAGCTGTTACATATAAGTTGCTTCATTTGGGATGTGGTTAGGTTGAAGTCCATCCTAGGCTCATTGTTCCACTGTCTTTTTGACTCTTTCATGTTACAACCCTGGTTTACCAAATTCTGGCTCCTAAACCTCTCGGCACAACCCTGGCTAATCCTCCCAAGGTTCTATCCTCTTCACTGTGCCCCATGTTCCTCTCACCCATAACACAATACGCAGCCGCCCTCCACCTTCTCCAAAGCAAGCTAGCAAAAGAGGACACCAGTCTGCGTGCCCAAGGCTGGGTGGCAGAGGATGCTACTGAGCGATTTCCACATGACAAATTGCCACCTGGAGCACGAGCTGCATGTGCTAAGCTTGGAGGGCAGTGGAAATGTGTGCCGGACAGCCACGCAGACTGGTTGGCTATGTGGACCTTTTGAAACCATCCTGTCTGCATCGCTAGCCAGCCTCCTATGAAGCTGCAGAAGCCAAAGGTTTCAAATGTCCTCTGAGACCTTCAGCAAATTGGGGCTGCCCTGTATTTAAATAGGTCCATAAATGTTCCCTAGACTTTGAGCAGGCCGGGGGATGGATCGGTGCACTCAGCTAGTGGGAAGAGGGTACAATTTAATTATAATGTCTGTGACTAGTAGGGGCAGCTGGAGGAAGTAGGAGAGAAGGAACTGCTACTCCATAGCTTGCAGGGGTGTTTTCTGTACGCTCCAGGCGCCTCTGCAGATCTTTCCAGTACACGGCCTGTTCGCTGGAGCTTTGGACTGGGTCTCGCTAGCATTTGCACTTGGGATAGCCATTCTAATCTATGATTCTATGATTCTATTTATCCAGTGGTAACAAAAAGGGCAAAAAGCAAAATAAGATGGGAACAGAAGCCCCTCCCCTTCCAAGATCCCTGGGAAAGAAACCAGGGTGAAGAGAAAATGTAGAGGTCTTAGCAAGGGAGGCTAAGCCATAGGACCTAGATCTCTCTCTCTCTCTCTCAATTCTATCAGACGTTAAAGCCGTGAACAGTTATAAAATAACTCATTGCAATTTGCACACACAGCTATTGATTTACATTCTTCTCACCAGATTGTCACAAGTAAGAATTTTAGTTGTACTCAGAACGATACAATAATTACTACCAATAACATAATGTATGTAAGCCTCATCTCCATGCAAGAGCCACCTAGTTCTCTGGGACAATGCAGCTAAAAAAGGCCCTGATGAAGCGCATGAGAGCTGGACACAAAGCATTCTTGGAGAAGAAGGTTTGGCTATGGAATGAGCTACCAGAGGGGATTAGACTATGCCAAAATTTGGCCACATTTAGAACATGTGGCCAGGCACAGTTTTTTGCGTAAGCTTTTCTAGTGGAACTGGAAAGGTTTTTTCTATATTGCAAATAAACAAATGCACCTGTATACTCCAAACAGGCTTCCTAAAATCTGGGAAAGGAGAAGAGCAGAAGTCTGCTATGATTTATACTAACCTAATTTACCTATATGCTTAGCTAATACAGGGCCAAATTTTCAAAAGTGCCTTGTGTATAGGGTTCTGAACATGACTGAAAATCAGACCCCAATTTTGGATGATGAACACATGAAAATCTAGCCCTGGGCTGTTTTGAAAGTCTGCCAGTGAAGTCCAACCTAGAAAACCCTAAAATAGATTTAATGTTATGCAAGCATCTTAATATGTTTTACAAATATTAATGCTGTGATTTTCAAAAGCTCGTAAGTGATTTAGGACCACATTTCCCAATGACTTTCAAAGGGCCTTGTGCTCCTAAATTGCTTAAGTGCTTTTGAAAATCTAACCTAAATTATTAAACTCCCTAATACCCTTGTTAGGCATGTATTATTCCCTTTTAATATATGGGTAAACTGAGGCACCAAGCTTTAAAGAGCACACCACCTCCAGTGTGTCAATGGTAGACAAGAAATAGATGCCAGTGGCCCTGAACCCTGCAAAACCTTTGCATACATTTGCACCTAGAAATGAATTGTCCGCTGCACTGGTAGTTTGCAGAGAAAGCCTCATATGTTATAAGTTCAGTTTTATTCTCTCAAAGAAAAGGGACAATTTCTTTCCTCCTGCTTCTGAGAAATTTCCTTGCTGTTCGGTTGTATCCTGAAAAATGCTTCATGTCAGGCTGTTACAATCACATTTTGTAACATAAAAGGACCTGACTGGCTAACTGTGCTGAAAAAAATCAGACTTTCATCATCTGAACCTTTGAGAAAAATCCTGTCTTTTAAAATTTCTTGGCTGATGCGTCACACTGGGTCGAAAGAGTCAAGTCACGAATCATGAGGCGATATGGCCAGGAAATAACAAAGGGAGAGGAAGAAACTTTCTGAAAGGGATGTTGGAGAATGCTGCAAGAGAACTTCTTTGAACAGCACTGAAAGCTCATAATGGGTGCTGTAGCAAATCAATGGCAAATCATTTGGAAGGCTAGGAGTTTGAGCCATTATGCATTTCATTGCAAATTGAAAGTTAGTCCTGATTCCATTAAATTATCCTGCCAAAATGGGACCATTTTCAGAGCAGAGAGCATGTACGATCCCAAAACTGCGGCCTCATTCACATGCTGGTTCTCTGAACCCTCGCTGATCGAAACTCTTGGTTGGGGAAGCTCAGGTTCCTGGCAGATGGCTGAATCCCAATTCACTTAGTAATTTGAATTAATATTCACAGATATTCTTTTCCCATGAGTCCCTCAGTTTTAGCCATTCAGTCTCTGGATCCGTTTATGAGGGTGTCATCTTGCAGGGTGCTCAGTGCCCTCAATTTGCAAGACTGATTTTTACTCCTGGGCCTCTCTGCTGGGACTGCAGAGGGTTAAAGTAATGGGGAGCAGCAGGGTGGGAAGCATAGCTCCCCTTCTGCTGTTAAAATTAGCGGGAGCTCCCCAACTACTGCTCCCAGATACTGGAGTTACTCCTATAACTCAGGGATTGGTCTGAGACCATCAGCTCATCACATAGAGTCCATCAAAATAATAAAAACGTGTGGATACTTTTTATATAGACTGGAGTTGAAACAGAGACCAAGACAGCAAAGCTACATATGCAACTCCCCAGAAACATCCAGTTTCCTTATGATTTATTGAATACAATTTGTACACTAGAAATAATGAAATCTAGCTGCTCTTTGCTTCTCAAACACTAATTATATTTTAACGGTTAAACCACGTTGGAACATAAGTAGGGAGCAGCCAGAAGCGAATCAGGGTAACATATTGCAAATTAGAATGAACAGGAAGAGTTTGCTATGGGGAGGAGATCAGTGCCATGCTGTGACAGAAAAGTCTGCTCCAAGGGGACATAGGAAGGTTTCAGTTAAGTACACAGAGATAATGGGGGGGAGGGCGGGAGAGGGGAGAGAATCTGCAAATAGTCAGTCAGATGTGAAAGCCAATTTC